GAAAATGCTGCCTCCCAAGTTTTTGCCACTCAGCATTGCTCTGGAGCCCCCAGTCTCCCCAGAACCTCTCTTGTCTGTTGGGCAAAGCAATTTAGTAACCATCTTGGTTGCTAAAGTTTCCCTTATGGTGTCTCCTTCCCACCTGTGCCCCACCAATGCCCACAGCTTTATTACAAACACATCCGTGGTTCTCTTGAGTAAGGATTTCTCTGTGAAGCCACACATGCAGTTCCTTTATTTGGAAGGAAAAATTATTTCAAATGATGCAGATATTTACAAAGTAGAAGGTGAAAAGTCTCTTTTGTTCCTACTTCTTACTACTCAGAATTGGCCAATGTTAAGATAAACTGTAATTCCTATGAAAGTTTAAAGAGATTGGGAAATGAAAGAAGCTGAGAGCCTTAATATTTAGTATCTTCTTTTGGCTTCTGTCCCCACCATTATCTTTCCTTGTCTCCTTCATTCCAACCACGCTGTCCCACACGGGACTTTTGCTCCTTCTACTTTGAACTAGACACCAGCTTCCAATTTGTGTTTTATGGGGAGCATTATCTTAAAAGAGGCCATAGCCTAAATTAATGTCTTCTTGGTAGAATTTTAGAGGTGAGAGAGGTCATTCAAGACTCTGGGATTTTAAAATGAAGCTGTAATATTCAATAATCATGTTTGGTATTTATTAATGAACACTTCAAGTAATATTAAGCGCCTCACTTTACTGAAAACCAGGGTTACTTAACTCTGGGGATCCTTCTGTTTGGGCCAGTATGGTAAGGGCATCCCCTTATCCATGTACAATATGGCTGACCCTCAATGGAGTTTATGCCTCAGTGTCCTCTTCCCCCAGGATGCCCAGTGAAGCTTTCACTATAAATATGAGGCCCAAAGGAGAAGGCAGAGGTGACTGAACCGATATCTGTTCCTGTGAAATAGAAAATTCAACTTGATTTTAAGTTTCATTGCCTCCAGGAAAAACAGATTCACCAACTGCTGGGGAGTTTTGAACACAGAAGGAAAGAAAACGCCCTGGCAACGTGTGACTCGGACAGCTGCAAATATAGAAGACACGAATGCCTGACTGAAGGGCCTGGGGACTCCCTAGGAGAAGCCCCTGGAAAGGGGGCTGGTAACAGTGCTTAAGGCTGAGGTAACGTAGACCGAACCTCCACAGGGGCGGGAATCCCCTCTGTTTGCACTTTCCATGGTATCCCCAGCAGCTGGTGCAGATGATGCTCAAGAAAATATTTTGGTGGTCGTGGTTGAGTGTCCGACTCTTGATTTCGACTCATGATCTCAGGGACATGAGATTGAGCGCCATGTCAGGCTCCTGGCTCAGCAGGGAGTCTGCTTGAGATTCTCTCTCTCCCTCTGCCCCTCCCCCTTCTCTAAAATAAATAAATAAATCTTAAAAAAAAAACACCTTAAGAATATTTTGGGAAAAGTAACGTAAGAATAGCACCAGAAATCCTCGTGGTGGGATTGTTCTATATTTTGACTGTGGTGACCACACGACTCACACATGGTAACATCTCATAGAGCTAAATATGCAAATGAGTACATATAAAACTGATGAAATCTCAATAAGGTTGGTAGATGTATCAATATCGAACTGTTACCATTGGAGGAAACTGGGTGTAGAGTATTGGGAGCTCTGTATTATTTCTTACAACTGCACATGGATCGACAGCGACCTCCCAATAAAAAGTAGTAATGTGAAAAAAAAGTAGTAATGTGAGAGTAAAAACAATCTCAGGTGACAGCAATCCCAAATGTAGTAGAATGTGAGTCAAGATAGACTGGCTTTGAAAAGCTAAACCCTGGTGTTTTTTTTTTCCTAAGTTTTTTCTTTTTTTTTTTTTATTTTAAAGATTTTTATTTAT